TTTAAATGGTCTCTAAATTCAGGAGGGATGTAATCAAGGTTATATTTTGGCTCTCATGGATTTTTTTTTGAGTGTCCTCAGCTTCAACTTGAACTTGCATATGAGCAGTTGGTCTGTTCCACAGTCAGTCCCTGGCCTTGTTTTGGCTGAAGATATTGAGCTTCTTCATCACCTCTTTCTACAGATGTAGTCGATCTACTGCCTTACATTCCATCCAGCAAAGTCTATGTGAATAGCTGCCATTTATGTTTTTGAAAATATTATTTGCAATGAATGAGTTGTTGGTCTTGAAAAATTCCATCGTGCCATCTCCAGTGGCATTTGCATTACCAAGGCCATAGTTTCCAACTACTAGTGATTCTTCTGTGCTTCTAACTTTTGCATTCCAGTCACCAGTAATGATCAACACATCTTGATTGCATGTTTGGTCAATGTCAGACTACAAAAGCTGGTAAAAATCTTCAATTTTCTCTTCTTTGGTTTTGGTGGTTGGTGCATAAAGTTGAATAATAGTTATATTAATTGTTCTTCCTTGTAGGGATATGGATATTATCCTATCATTGACATTATACTTCAGGGTAGATCTTGAAATGTTTTCTTTGATGATGAATGCCATGCCATTCCTCTTCAATTTGTCATTCCTGGCATAGTAGATCATATGGTTGTCTGATTAAAAATAGCCAAAAACAGTCCATTTCAGCTCACTGATGCCTAGGATATTGATCTTTATGCATTCCATTTCATTTTTGACAACTTCCAATTTTCCTAGATTCATACATCATATATTCCATGTTCCAGTTATTAATGGATGTTCACAACAGTTTCTTCCCATTTTGAGTCATGCCTCATCAGAAAATGGAGGTCCTGAAAGCTTTACTTCATCCACACCACTAAGGTCAACTCTACCTTTGAGGCGGCATCTCTTCCCCAGTTGCATTTTGAATGCCTTCCAACCTGAGGGGCTCATCTGCCTGCACTATATCAGACAATTTTTCAGGACTACTCATTAAGTTTTCCAGTAGTATATCAGACAATGTTTCACTACTATCCATAACGTTTTCACTGTTCTATTACTGAAGTGGATGGCCTCTTCCTTCTTCCATGTCTGTCTCAGTCTGGAAGTTCTGCTGAAACCTGTGCACTTTGGGTGACCCTGCTGGTATTTGTAATACTGGTGTCAATGCCTCCAGCCTCACAGCCACATGTAAGCCTCCACAGTACAACAAACTGACAGATGAGTGGTGGGCTATTGTTTTAGTATTTGTTAAATATACGTGCTTGTCCTCTTTTTTATTTTGAGGCAAAAGCTTATTATTTTTCTTTGAGGTTACCTTATGATTTATAATTTTCTTCCCAAGTTTAAAACAGTCTGTTCTATCTCACAGTTGTCTTGACTTGCTCACTGTTTAGAAATAAATGGTTGCATAACTAGAAGAATGTAATCAGTGTCACTAAATTATACATGTAGAAACTGTTGAGTTGGTGTATGTTTTGCTGTGTGTATATTCTCAATAACAATTAAATAAATAAAATTTAGAGAAAAAAACAACTCACCCTTTATTCTATGAGACTTAATCTTGCAGTTAATATTATAGCAAAATAGACCCCATTGAGTGTTCATGATAATTAAAACAAATAAACAACACATATCTTCTTACAGGAGTTCTTAGCTTACAGAAGGTACAGTTCTCCAGAGAGGAACATAAATACTGGATATATGGATGTCAAGTTTTATTCACTTTTTACTGACAGATAGTGAATAATTTTATTCAATAGTATACAAAGTAGAGATGTACCTAATCTCTGTCCTCACTGGGCTAGACAACCAATGATATTAATTCCCTGCTCGTGACCTGCTCCAGGTATCATTGTACAAACCTAAAATTGTAATGGTGTGTCAGGTATCCAGGGTAAAATACACTTGGAGTTCAAACAACTTATTTGAATGACATCAGCCTTAGAATTTATGATGACAATGACGACATCTATATTTCACATGTGCATGTATTATCTGTTTAATCCTACAGTGTTGTAAGCAAGTTTCACAAAGAAACAGAGACTTGAGAGTTAAAGAACATGTCCCAGTGCACACAGCTAACAAGTGAGAGGAGATAATGTTAAAAATCTGGTTTTTGCATGTAAAGTCCATTAGTTAATCCATGACACTAGCCTATTAATACAATTATTGTGAAAATTTACACTTGTTGACTCATTAGCATGAACTAAACACTGCACTAGTAAGTACATTTTATTATATCCCCTCAACCACTTCTCAGTTATGTGTTTGTGTTATCACAACTATACAGTTGAGGAAGTTAAGTAGATGTTTTTTATCATGTCAAGGTCACACAGTTTGTAATATCAAGTTATATTTGAGTTTGTGGAATGTTCACCTAAAATGAACTACTTAAAAATTATAATAAAAGCTATCATTTGATGGGAAACTATCATTTTACAGGTCCTCAAAAAAAGTGTATGTCATCGTTACAAGGCCTTAGAAGATAAGTACAATTGTACTTAATTTGCTGCTGAGGAATCTGAGACACAGACAGGAGCACTGAGCTGCCAAATGTCTCCATAATTTTTAGCAGAGATCTGGTTGAACTTGTGTCTTCATATTTTCCACCCTTTCTATCATCTGTGCTCCCACTCCTAATCACTGGTTGTCACAGTACTCTTAGATAGCTACTGTGAACTTTCTGGCATAATCGTTTTTAGTCTTTTTCCCTTGGATAGTATTAATAAGTCATCAGCACTCTTTCTAAATTTTGAAATTAAGAGAGAAAACATAAAGCGTTACCTCTGGGAAGAGTTTACCATGTGATGTCAAAAGGCAATATTACTTGACATTTACTAAGAGTTGCTTTTTTGTTTGTTTGTTTGTTTTGCTTTTGCCAAAAATTGGTAGGTTTACATAAATGGATACAAAAATTTAGTAAATTAATCAATTTAAAGGGTTACTTCTACCCTGTCACATGGGGTCACTATGAATCAAAAATAGCTCAACAGTCCCTAACAACAACATGTTTCTTCTCCCTGACTCCATCTTCTCTCAAGTGCATTTCTTTCACTGGTTCCTAATTAGTGTAATTGGTAGGTGATTTATCTTAGTAGTAAAAGGCAATGTATATTAAACTAGCTATTAGACAGTTTTTCAGAGAGTCAACGTGTATAAAAACAATGCATGATATATCCAAAGAACAGATGGAGACCCATTCTGTAGAAGTGAAGGATCCTAAAGGCTAATTTATCATGGTAGAAGACACACATGACTACAAACTGAATTCCTAACAAGATTACTATTAGGAAAAGGAAAGAGCTCACGGTTGCTAATGACATGGCCCTTTGATACTCTAAAGTAATGTAAAAAAAGATAAAGTTATTTATTATGACTTGGGTGACTTCTTGATGATTAGGCACCATTAGAGCCACACAGCAACTGGAATTTTACCACAACTTAAGTCAGATGGATAACAATGAATAAGATATCATTTACAACCATGCTTCTCTCTTGAGTCCATTTTGCAATCTGTCCATTTCAGATACCTTACAACATACCTTTATACTTCATGTCACAATTTGTCAGTCAGGGCTCAGTCAAGAAAAGAAAAATCATACCAGTTATTGACATGAAGATAACTTAATATAGGGAATTTGTTAAATATTTATGAAGGGATGACAGGCATAAAATTAACAAAGTGATAGCACAGAGATAGTAACCATAAGATGTAGCTACTACGCCAAAGGCTAAGGCATAAAAAGAAAAAGGTTGGATTTTTAGGGCATAGTAACCATTACTGACCACTACTGAAAGAAAGTCAGAAAAATCAGTAATTTCCAAAGCCTACTCTTAATTTAAAAATAAAGTATAGAAGGAAAATTGGAACAGAGAAACAATGGCATAAAAATCAGCCTATAGGACCAGCTGAATTGTGTGGAGAACAAGCAAGTCAGTCTTAGAAGAAATACAACCAGAATCTTCCTTAGAAGCAAGGATGCCAAGACTTAGACTTGCTTGCTTTGGAGGCATCATCAGAAAAGACCAATTGCTAGAAAAAGACATCATGTTTGGTAAAGTACAGAGCAACCCTCAATGAGATGGGATGACAGAATAGCTGCAACAATGGACTAAATCATGAAGATGGTGCAGGACTGTGCAGTGTTTTCTGTTATATATATGGTTGTCACGAGTTGGACTCAAACACAACAACAACTATAAAACAACAACAACAGTGTAGGAGAGAATATTTGTGAAGAAATATTATCAAGTGTGTTGGAGAAAATCACACTGCCTGTTGCTAGAGTTGGTTCTTTCTTATCTTCCCCATTTGAACTCTAATCTCTTTAAGTTCATCACTATCTGCTCATAAGTAGTAAAAGACTCAAGACATACTAGTCATCTTTAAATAAAAGATCTGACTTAAATCAGTAGTACTCAGTTTTGGCTGCCAAGTAGAACTTCCTTGGATGCTTTCTAAAATGTTCATGCTCAAGCCTCCTCAGTCCAGTTATCACAATCACTGGTGGTAGGACCCTGTCATCAGCATTTTTAAAGTTTCTTGGATGATTACAATAAAAGCCAAGATTGAGGACCAGTGACATACACACTCACACATAACCTGTGTAAATAGATTTGATAGATACAAAAGTATGGAAAATACACATAAACCCTGGAAATGGATGTAAAATTTAAATATACAAAAGTTGTGCATTTCTCCAGAAAGCCTGGGTCATTGACGAAAAACTATAAAAGTCTTCATAGGTAAAACAGGATTCAGTCATGCAGTGATTATGACATATGAAGGATCTCAGAATACTCCCCCAATCCTTTAAAAGCATACCAAAAGGAGTCATATTCAGATATGAAACACAGAGAAGAACGAAAGCCACAAAAGTGATGCAACCTGATACTCAAGATTTGCAGTTTTAGATGTTTGGTTTTGCTGCCTTTTCTACCTACACAATAAAAAAAAAAAAAAAAGATGGCACAGGTATTGAGATTAGGCTGCGGTGCTGAGGAGTCTCCACAGGGCTCTCTTGATGTCCCTGTTCCTCAGGCTGTAGATGAAAGGGTTCAGCATGGGAGTGACCACAGTGTATGCCACTGAGGCCACTGCACCTTTCCTGGGGGAAGAAGAGACAGCAGAACTGAGGTACACTCCAAGGCCTGTTCCATAAAATAAGCAAACAACTGAAAGATGAGAGCCACAGGTGGAAAATGCTTTATACTTCCCACTTGATGATGGGACTCTTAAAATGGAGGAGACAATTTTAGAATAAGAGAAAAGGATCCCTGAAATTGGAAGAAAACCAGACATGGCACCAACAATGTACATTACTATGTTATTGGTGAATGTGTCAGAACAGGCAAGGTTGAGGAGTTGAGAAGGGTCACAAAAGAAATGAGCAATTTCCACATTCTTGAAGTAGGTAACTTGTAACACCACTGAATTGTGCAGTTGGGAGACCAAAAGGCTGATGGAAATGGACACCAAAACCAGCAAACCACATAGGCGGGGGTTCATGATGATCCGGTAGTGCAGAGGGTGACAAATAGCTACAAACCGGTCATAGGCCATTGCAGTCAGGAGCAGACTGTCCAAACATCCAAAAAGCATAAAAAAAGACATCTGAGTCAGGCATCCTGCATAGGCGATGACTCTACTGTGAGTTTGGATGTCTGCAATCAGCTTTGGGACTGTGGTGGAAGTGAAACCAATGTCAGCCAAGGACAGACTGGAAAGGAAGAAGTACATAGGGGTGTGAAGGTGAGAGTCACAGCTGACGGCCAGGATGATGAGCAGGTTACCAAGTACAGTGACCATGTACGTGGACAGGAACATCCCCAAGAGAACAGGCTGCAGTCCCGGGTCCTCTGAGAGGCCTAACAAGAAGAATTCTGAGACACTTGTAAGATTCTGTGGCTCCATGTAGCTGAGACAGCTTTTAGAAAAGAAAGAGAAGAGGATTGAAAAAGAAGAAACAAGCAAACAATCATTTGGCACTGCGTCTTATTTTGAATTCAAGAAATTTGTATGTGTTCATATTTGACCATAGGTCCCAGTATCTTTAGCAATATTTCTCAGTTGGGGTAAACCCATTCTCCATAGACCCCTTCCTCATTAGTGTCTCTGTGAGTCACCCATTTTAGATATACAGGGCTAAGAATGTTAGAGGAGTGAGTATAAAGATATGAGTTTTATCTAGTGAGTATAGAGGAGTTTTATTCAAGTATAAAAATCAATGAACACAGTACAATTTAGCCCTCTCCCTCTGAACAAAGCAAATAGATGTAAAAATATTCTTCCCCTTTTAAGAAAAAAAAAAAAATCATACTCATTAAAGGAAACTTGTTATTGTTGTTGTTAGGTGCCCTCAACTAGGTTCTGACTCATAGGCACCCTACATAAAACAGAACAAAATGCTCCCTAGGTCTAAGCCATTCACCCACATGTGAGCCCATTAATGCAACCACTGTCAGTCCAACTCATTGAGGGTCCT